CCTGCTGGCTGCCCTGTTCCTGACGCCTGCAGGAGGCCCTTGGCCTTCCTGGCCGCCTGGGCTCCCTGCTGGCTCCTGCTCAGCCGCTCTCGACCAGCACCCCCAGGTCCTTCTCTGCTGTGCAGCTCTGCAGCCGCTCTGCCCCAGGCCTGTAGTGCTGCACGGCCTTGTTGGGACCCAAGTGCAGGACCCAGCCATTAGCCTTCTTGAACCTCCTGCAACTGGCCTCTGCCGATCGATCCAGCCTGCCCAGATCCCTCTCTAGAGCCTACTTTGGGAGCCCACCTTCCTTGGCCACATTTGGATGAATTCCGGGAATGATAATTCAGGCCTGTGGACCTGGATGTGTTCCGGCCAACAAATGGGGAAGGTCGTGGGGGAAGACTTGTCTTGACATGCCCCAGAAACTGAGGTCCCCTCTGGCGTCTGTTATGTTGCAGGGGATGATGGTGATTATTTGGGCTTCTTTCAAGGCGGTCTTCTTTCAGGTAAAATTCTAGCTCCATCCTTTCTTCAGGCTGACAGTCTGATGCAGTGGGCCTGGTGGAGATATATACATTAAATCTGAGGCCTGGCGTACCAGTGAGGAGGACTTTAGGGCTGGGGAGGAGGGCAGCATGTCTGTAGCACTCTGGGCTATGCCATGGGAGCCCCCATGCGACATGTTCATGGCCATCACTGGAGACAATGGGGTCCCTTGCTGCCCGTTGGTGGCACAGCACTGTTTGGTGGCAGGAGCTGGTCTGGGCTGCCCTTAGTGCTGACAAATGGACTTCACCCTGAGGACAGAGGAGACTGGCACAACTCCCTGGAGGGACTGCAGTGCCAGCAGTACACATAATGTTGCTGATGCTGTTGATGTTGTCACAAAGTCTTCTCTTATACCTCCTTAAAAGTGGTTTCCTCCCCTATGTTCTCTTTCCCAGGACAGCCACAGCGAGCTGGACTTTTCACCCCAGAAACATGTCTGCGCTGTGTGAGGAAGGTAAGGGCTCTCCAGCCAGTCATGCCTCAAGTGCCAGCTTTACCATTCCTTGCAAGACACTGTGTCATTCAAAGAAAGTGGCACAGCAGTAAGCCTGAGGTGGGAGTCTTCCCAACAGTAATGTGGGAAGCTTAAATACCTTCACAACCCTGGGCCAAGCTGCATCTTGCTTTGCTTCTTCCCAAACCCCTTCCAATCATAGCCAGTATGCAATATCCGATTCATTCTCAAAGTAGCATTGCTTGTGTTACAGCCCCTTCCAAAGATGACACCAGAGGAGATCCAGAGCTTTAGGAATGACAACCCCAGCTATCGGTAGGAGATGCTGAGCAAAGCAGAAACCCCTTCCTTACAGCTTACAGCTGCAGTCATGCGTGGCAAAACGCTGTTCTCCCCTCCGGTCTGCAGAGCTCACCTTCCCGGAGCAGGCTCCTTCCAGTGCTCTGTGACAGGCCTTGGCTTTGAGGTGAGCTCAGCGGTGATCATCTGGTACAAGTATGGCTCCTGGGACGATCACCTGGGAGCCTCTGCCCAGGAGGAATGCGTGGTTGCTGGACCCCTGTTCTCCATCAGAGCGCAGCCAGGAGCGGTTCGTGCAGTGCATCTGCCCCACTTCGTGTGCCTGGCAGGTAGAGCAGCTCTGCGGATGTGCTTCCCCTCAACTCCCTCTGCTCCCCTAGGCCACAGCAGTTCTCCTGACCGCCTGCTCTCAGGCCGTCTGCAGCTGTCCTGTCCTCTTGCCCACGGAACTCCTCCAGCATCTGCTCTGAAAGGGCTTGCCCAATGCAGGGGTTTAGCAAGATGACTCCTCAGGGAGATACCCTAGGACCTGTCCAGACAGGTTTGGGGCCAAATTCTTCTTCCTCTCTGCTCCTTTGTATTCCCCAACTTTGCTTTGCTTCAACCTTTTGTTAACCCTCACCCACGTTTTGCTAAGTTTTGCAATGGTCCCTTCCCTGTCACCTCAGCCCCAGCTCCTGCTTTGTCCTCCCATCCTCTATTTCTCTTCCCCATAAGCTCCCTAGTGCTAAACTCTGGCTGGACTGCACAGAAACTGGGACTACTCTGCTGAAACAGAGTGCGCCACAAAAGTCATTTCTTGCTGCATGGCTCCACCTCCCGTCCAGGACTCAGTAAGCACCACTGTGTCAGCCAGAAGTGGGTCTCTGCACTCTGTTGACACAGCTGTGTGAAGCAAAAACATGTGATTTTATTAATTTATCAAGTTTTACCTGTCAGATTAACAGCCAAGTGTGAAGAACTTCAAAGAGGTAGAAGGAGGCTGAGTGAGCAGCAGCAGAGCTCTGCCCCAGGAAGCAGTTGTCGCTGCAGTGCTGGACGTTTGCTAGAGATGGAGCTTGTCCTTCAGCCTGCTCTGCTGATCAAAACCTAGGATGACTCCCAATGCAGTCACAGCTTTCCTGACAGGATTTGGTGATGTGACGTGTGTGCACAGGATGCTGGACTGCACGGTTGTAGCCTAAGGATTTTCATGGTCCCAAGTTCCCATCTCAGACTTAGTGTTTTGAACCTAAGGTGACTTTGCTGAGCAGAAGAACCCCACAAAGCCCAGGGTACAGATGGTCCCTAAACCAGATTGTGCCATTTTTATGGGAGCAGGTCTTCCTTCTGCTAGTAACAGAGGATGGCATTAGGAAAACAAAAGCGAACCTTGTTTTTCCTCTCTTGCAGAAGATGTAGATGTCAGCGAGTGCAGAATTGCCCATTTTAAAGCTGGGAGCATGACCCTAGAGAAACCAACAAAACTGACTCCTTTCTACGCTGTCCTGGGAAACCCCAGCTTCTCACTGCTTGGGGTGGTTTGGCGAAGGTTCCGTTCAGCTTTAATTTCACTTCCCATGCATTCCTTGGTGCTGATCTTTCAGCAGCTCAATGCTGCAAAAACAACTCTTCACCTCTACCTGATCCCAGATGACAACTCTGTGAAGCAGGTAAGATGGAGGAGGTGGGGTTAGTTTACAAAAAGGGTGGCAGATGGAGCGGCTGCAGTAGCAAAGACTGGAACTGATAAGCAGGGATCCCTCCTAGTTTTGTTCTGGTATTCAGCACGGACTGGTATAACGTGTTCCAGGCATCAGGCAGTGGGAGGCAGCGCAGGACCATGAGAACAGGACTGCAGATCCTCCCTGAGCAGGACAGCAGAGCTGGTCCTGCAGTGTCAGCCAGCAAGAAAATGGGGGAAGACAGTGTGCCAACTGCTGAGGAAGGACAAAAGACCAAATGTTTTGCCGACAGTGCTTGGGTGATACTTTTGCCTGGTTTTCTGGACACGAGGCTTAGGTAACCACATTGCCTCTCTCTGGAGGCCTCTGTGTTCCCTGCACCTCTTGGAGCCCATGGCTCCATTCCAGCCAAAGAATGACCCTCCGCAGCAGAACCTGTTAATGCCACAGCAGGGAAGACAGTGAGATCTGTGACCTCAATGGGCACTGCCTTCTTGAGAACTGACAGACAGAAGGGACCAACTTTTCCTACTTGGTCCTTCCTTTTATTCCAGTCACCCCCTTTCTGTTTGGGGCTTCATGGCAAAGGGTAGCATTGTCGTGTCTTTCCTTAGGATAACTTAAACGTAATCTGAACTCCACCTGGGGATGGAGTTGCATGTGCTCCTGTATACAGGACTGCGGATCTCCCAGCTTCCCTGACTCGCCTGCTGCAGCAGGGAGAACACAATCTCCACCAATGCTCACTAGCCTAAGGCAAGAGCAGCAAGCTGCCATGGAGCCTCATCTTGCCTCTGCTGAGTGCTGTTAACATTTCGGTGCCTCTCAAAGTTCACTGCTGGCCAAGGATCACCACCCCCAAGAAAGAAATTACATATCAGTCCCTTATTTCTACAGCTGCCTATCTGAGAGTGCTACCAGCCTCTAATGCGGAGAGTCTTCTGTTCCTGCCACCAGCAGTCAGCTCCTTCCTGGGGGCACCATCCTTGCTGCTGCTCCTCCGCCCCCTTTCATATGTCACCTCCAGAAACCACTCGCTGTGCCTTCAGCGAGGCAGAAGGACGTGTCCTGGCAGGGGCTGCGCTGCAGCCCGGGTGGCTCTGCACATGGAGCAGAGCAGCTTCCTGCTGCCACGTGCAGCCCCGGGCGGCCGAGTATCAGACGTTCTCGTGTTTGTGCAGCCCTTACCTGTTACCCTGAAGCACCTCGCACGTATCGCAGGGTAGGGGCCGGCAGCAGCTGCTGGGCAGTAGTGAGGGGGCTGACCGGCTCCTCCAATGCAGCACTGCCTGTGACGCACATTCGGTTGGGATCCCCTGGGTCAGTCTCTCAATCCTCTCCATTTTCAAAGGGCAGTGAGAGCTCCGTGCAGTACATAGCTCCTTTTTGTATCTCTCAAAAGTGATGCTTGAAATTTACAGGCCATTGAAAAGCAAGAGATGAACTGGAATTCCAAACTTATTCCCAAGCCTTCTCCCCTCAATCCTCTGTTCTTTGGCTGCACGTACGAAGTTTCCAGTACGTCTCATGTGGAGATAACACCTGAAGTAAGTGAGATTGCTTCTTTTCTGCAGTGAAATCGCAAATATCCTAAGTCTCCACCTCCAGTTGTGCTAGGTTTCAGAGCCATAAAAGCAAGCTACGCTGCTTACAAATGACAAAGATATTTTATGATATGCATCCCAATAAATAGTATGAAATAGATCGTGGAGTCCACCCCCAAAACTATGCTGGCAAAGCTATAAAGGGTCAGATTGTTTTTCTCTATGGCAGTACATAATTTGGGACTTATCACAGTTATGGCTCCTTATTAAGGAACTTCAGAGATGGGGTGGTCCCAAGTCTTGTCTGCACTAGGGTTACTTCAGAACAGGAGCAGAACTACAGAGACTCCTTCTTTCCTACCTTTCCTGCCATGATGTGACATGACTTCTTTGGGTTACTTTCAGGGAACTCAGCTTGAGGACTTCTGCATCCTGTGGCAATCAGATTACAATGGCTGGAAAAAATCAGATTATTTGGCCGTTTAGTCATGCTGTTACTTTTTCTGCACAGGAATCTGCAATTTCCTAGTGACAATCCAATGTCATGTCCATGGCTGGATACCAAAACCTTCTCCTTTCATGAGTCTGTATTGCAGTATAACCATGATAGGAATCACAATGATTTAGATTGGATGAGACCTCAGGAGATCTCCAGTCCAAGATTTTGCTGAAAGCATTCCAAGTTTGACATCACATCTAGTTGCTCAAGGCCATGTCCAGTCAAGGCTGAGTATTACCAAGGATGGAGATTCCACAGCTCTGAGTTTCCCTTCCAGTGATGTATTGCTCTTCTTGTTTTTTGTTTTGTTTTTTCCTTTGTCTAACTGGAATTCCTCTTGCTGCAATTTGTGCCTGTTGCCTCTTGTTTCATCACTGTACATCTCCAAGAAGAGACTTGCTCCATCCTTTTAATCTCCCTCAGGTAGTCGAAGGCAGTGATTAGACCTCCCCTTAACTTTCTCTTTTGTGGGTTGAACGAGCCCAACTCCCTGCACCTCTCCTTGCATATCATGTGCTCCAGCCCTAAGCTGACCTTGCTCCAGGATGTTCATGTCTTTCTCATGCTGGGGAGCCCCAAACTGGGTAAACCCTTGAACAAATGTGGTGTCACAAGTGGAATGGCAGGAATCCCTTCCCTCAGTCTTGCTGACCCAGCCTAGGTTGTGGTTGGCCCTCTTTGCTGCCAGGGCACAGTGCTGACTCCTGCTCAGCTTGTTGTCCACCAGGACTCCCAAGCCCTTACCTGGCAAATTGTTTTGTATCCATGCAGTGCCCAGCCTGCTCTGCTGCATGCGGTTCGTTCCTCCTTCCCAGATGTTGCATCTCTGCATCTGCTGTTGTCCAAGTGCACGAGCTTCCTGACAGCCCATTACTCCAGCCTCTCAAAGGTCCTCTGAATGGCACCCCTACCCTCCAGTGAACTGATCCCCCCCCCGCAAGGGTAACTATAACCTGCTATTGAGCAGCCCTCAACAGCTTAGTTGGGAGACAGTCTTAAAGCCATGAATCATTAATTAGGAATTGGCCTCGACACTTTCTCTAGTGACTAAATTGTAACTGGGCACTCTGTCTTGAAGAGCAATTATAAAGATGACAGAGCCAAACTCTTCTTGGCAGTGTCAGGTGGTTTAGCAAGAGGCAATGGCCATAAATTGGGAGGTTCAGCCCGGACATTAGAAAAAAAATATCACTAAGTGGTGACGCAAGGAGCATCCCCTCAAAGATGTTAGGAGAGAGATGAGAATCTCCATTCTTAGAGGTTTTCAATACACAGCTCGACAAAGCTGCAGCTGAGCAGATCTGGAGTCAGCAGTGATCCTAACTGGAGCAGTAGGGCAGATGAGACGCTCCAGAGGCCCCTTCCAACCAACGTCCCCCACAGTGGCAGCACAGCAAAGCCCTTACTTTTACATCACCACTTGTTTTTCCCTTTCCTGGTATGGCCAGTAAACCCAGGATAATTTATGTGAACTCACTGCAGCTCCATGCAATGAGAGACTTATCTTGCTTCTTTACAGCCACACTTGCCATTCTGCTACAAGAGTCCAAAGGAACAGCAGCTCTTCATTGAGATCTACATCAAGAATATGGCAGAGGAAATTTGGCTCCTTATGACGGACATACGCAACAACAGCCTGGTCTGGAAGGTGTCCCTGAGGTCAGGTAGGATCGGCACGTCCACGTGCAAGAAGGAGATGGAGCAGGGAGCTGTATTCCTTGTGAGGGCAGGCTGAGACATGCCCGTACTCTGATGCAAAGGAGACAAGGGGAATACCAACATTTCCGTGAAAAAAATCACTATCTTGATATTTTTATATATATATTCATACACTGCATTCATATAGTTTTCTCCTTTTGGGGGGTGCAACACCAGAGTGTGCAACTGCACAGAGTGCAGCGGATCGGGGGGAGGCCCCATTTCCCTCAGGGAAGGCAGGCAGCCAAGCCGGATGGAAAGTCAGACCTCAGAGGGCTTCTCCAGAGGTCTGGAGAACTCTGCTGATGTTTTAGACCACTGAAGGGAGGTGGGTGGATGCCCCCTGAGGAGATATCATCTCTGAGTAGAGCAGAGCCTGCTGTGAATGTCACGCAGCAGTTTGTGTGGGGACTGCTCTCTGGGGGCATCTGTTCACCACCAGTTTGTCCCTTCTGCAGGTGACTGTCCTGACCTGGAGAGCTTCCAGGATCTTGTTGCAGGTCAGTATGCAACACAGACACAAGTGGCACGATCAGAGCGTGCTAAGAGGAATGTTTGCATGGAAGAGTGCACAGCAAAAGCACCTGGAGAAACGTGGCTGCTCAGGATCTGTGCTCCTGGGGGCTAATGTACTGCCAGAACTAACACTTACAAGTGCACAAAATCCAGGATCTCTTCCTGCTCATTTCTCCAAATATGGCCAGAAATATCCATGGATAGAAAATAATTGCTTAAGCACTGGAAAAAAAAAAAAAAAAGAGAGATTTTAGCAAGTGTCTCCATCGCAGCAGGGGCATAGTCACTGATCTCTCTGCTCTCTCTTTCAGATCGGACTTCTTCTCCTCCTGCCACTGCCTCCTGGTCCTCCTCAGGTTAGTATGGTTTTGCAGAGCTGCGTTCCTGGAGTCTGACTCCATTTCCTGCAGTTGAAAGCAGACTCCAGCCCTTCCCTTTCCGGACAGAAAGTCCGGCCATGCTCTGGGAACAAGCACCCTGTGGTGTCTTCAGGCAGTGCTGGCTGCCAGCCTTGCCCAGGCTGCAGTCCTGGCCCTCCGAGCCCACCCGCTGCCCAGTAGCCCCCAGTCATGCTGCAGAGGGGGACGGGACACGTGGCCACAGGACAGGGGAAGCAACCCCAGTGTAAACGGGTTGAGGATGCTGTGACCTTGCGGCCCTAGTGGTACCGCACTCACCTGGGGCCACCTTGCCACATGCAGCAGAGTAACACTGACTTGGTGTCCGTTAGGTGCAGCCTTCGTGAGGAAGCACAAGAAGCAGCTGTGTTGTAGGATGGGGAGGGTCTCCCCTATTCTGCTGCACTTGCAGGATGCCAACATTATCAACAGCGATGAAGAAGAAGAGGTACGAAGCCAAAACACACGTCAAAAGAAGAACAAAGTTTTGCTGCAGCTGGTTGAAAGAAAAGGTTGCATGGCCCAAGAGCAGCTCTACAGTATTCTCCAGGAGAAGGACCCGTTCCTCGTCAGAGACTTGCAGAAGTCCAGCTAGGCCAAACGGGCAGTTCCTGCTCCCACACTGCAGCGGAAGGGAGGGACAGAGGGGCAGTCGGGCCCAACCGCCCAGCCCCGAACCCTCGGCACAAGGCAGCGTTACAGCCTGCCGCCCCGCGGGCTCTCTTGCCAGCACGGGAAGACACGGTCACGCCGTCCCTCCGCTGAGAAGCTGCCGGAAGGAGCCTGGGGGAGGAGACACCTTGGTTCCTTACGCAGCAACACTCCCGGAGCCCCCTCAGCCCCACCGATGCCCTCGCAGAGGAGACGGGCCCTGTCCGAGCGGAGAAGCCTGCCGTCACAACAAGGTGCTGCGCGTGCCGCCCTGCCGGCACAGGCAGCAGGAACTGGGAACTGCTCGGTGCTGGAGGCCGTGAGCTGCTCTGTGTTCCTGGGAACGCGCATTTCCCTCTGCAAATCCATCTCCTGGATTCCTTCCTTCCTCGTGGATTCCTCGTCTTCCCAAATGACCACAATACCCTGATGTAGCAAACACAGAAAGCAGGAAAAATAGCAGAGAAAAGCAATGCACTAGCACACTTCGAGGGAAATGTCGGGGGCACCTGCAGCTGCTTCATGTCCCGAAGTGACCCAGCAGGTGATTTACAATACAGGTTCTCCATGGGAAGGTAGAGCCACGAATAAGCCTCTCTTCTTTTTTATTTTCCTATTTTTAAGCAACAAATAAATGCATACAGATAAATACAAAATAAGCAAAAAGAAATAAATAAAAATGAATAAAAATAAGTGACGCCCCGCGGGCTCGTTGCAGCCCGCCCTCCGCGCGGCTCCTCAGAAGGCGGCGCTACCGCGCAGGCGCAGAGCCGTGGGCGGGGCGGGGTCACCGGGGAGGGGCGGGGCCTGGTGGGGGAGGAGAGCTGCGATTGGCTGCTCGCTGCTCTGTGATTGGTGCTCTGCCGGGGGCGGGGCTGGCGGGCTCCCCTCTCGCGGGAGTTGACGGTAGCGCGCGAAATTGCTGTAACGGTGGCGGCGGGATGGGGCTG